TCTATAAAAAGGAGATTTGCGATTTGTCTCGACGCAAGAAGTCGATGTACACTTTTTGCCGTCGGGAAACTTTTTTTGAGCAACTCATCTTTTGAATGATACCCTGAAGCTTCTAACGAGTAACAGTTTCTGTTGTGTCTCCCTGCCTTCTTCTTACAGTTGTGTTTCCTGTTCTTATTTCTTCTTTCGAAGACTGACCGGCGGGCACAGTTTAAAGTAATGTCAACGGAAAAATGAAGAATTAGCTCAATCTTTTAATATTAAAAATAAATTCATAGATCTTCACACTTGTTGCTATTGAAATGAGAAACTATTGAAATGAGAAACTATCTTGAAAAATTCGAAAAGTACTCAAAACTACTAGTAACGTCATTTATCATTTAGTATTTATTATTTATCATTCATCATTTTGAGTAACACAAAATCATTCCCCGTCACTTACAAAAATAAAAGCAATTTACTGACAAGTATACAATACGTAAAGATTTATAATTTTTTGCGTTGTTCAATCTTAAGAGCTAACCCGATGTTATGTTGTTGGGCAAGACAAGCGAGAAAAATGTGAAAACCAAAAGACACGTGCGACGAAGCATAAAGCGCGTCTTAAATGGATGCATATCAAGAGTCAGTCGACGATTAGAGGCAATCAGAAAAAACTTGACGGATTTTGCGACGCGTCGTGTGCGATTGTGTTACATTACATAAAATAAAGTCAAAGCCATTTTATCTCTAATATATAGAGTCCAGCCAAATAATATGTGTAATAATATGTAAATGGATATGACGTAATTCTTTCTAAAAAAAAATAACTATAAAAAAACCTATAGAAGAAAGGTTTTTTTATTTGTGACTTAAATTTCGAGAACACCAAGTTTGAAAATCAAGGTATCCAAGTAAAATGAAGTTAGAATTATAATTTTATAATAGAAGTATAATTTTTATTGATAATAATTTACAACAGTATTGAGTACTTATTATGTTAGACTTACGCATATGTCCAGTAAACACAGTTTAGTTCACTATTTGAGATGCAGCTGCGCCAAGTTTTTTTGCATTACATATTTTTTAGTTTTTATTTTTTGTTTTTATTTTTTTTTGAAGAACAAGCAGTAATACAATAAAATGTAGATAGAAAATAGACCTTCCTGTCTTTGGACTGCAGATGGTGGCAGTATAATAAATAAACTTAGTGTGGAATGAAGTGATTTCTTGTGGAACGTTTCGACCGTCGATTACGGTCATCCTCAGCCACGCTGAATAAAATAACAAAGTTAAAGAAAATTACAGAATTAAGATTACAAAATATTATACAGTAGATCAAGTCGCATACACACCTTTACAAATAAGTTAATATACGTCACTGAACGTCGAAAACAAGAGACATCAAGACAGCAAAACAAATTGTTGATAGTCAATTTGTCCTTGCATCGTATCTTTAATAAAATAATACATCAAGAACATTAGACAAATAAAGAATAAAAGATAATTAAAAGAGATCAAATTGAGTTCAACAAACATTTTAATCAACAAAGTCAAAAGTATTAGTCAAAAAATAAATAAAATACAATAAAATGGAATAATAATCAAATAAATTTAAGGTCAAAAGGTAAAATAAATAACAATCAGTAAAAGATTCGTAGTAATTAAGCAACTGAGTCAATGATAATAAAATTGAAATACTCACTATCAAATTGATAAATTAAATAATTGTCGTTAAAATCTCTCGTACATCCGACACACAGTAACGACACAAATATCTCGGCACAAACATCTTGTGTAAAGAACAAAATACAAATGCGAGAAAAACAAGATAGAAAGGCCGAGATAATAATAGATAAGCATGAGAA